TTGGAAAATAACTTCTTCCTGTATAATTAAGGCATCAACATTTGCTACTTTTCAAGGAAACTGTTTGTTGAGCTTGTTTTGATTCTTTGACCCTGACATAATAGGAAACTCGTTAGCCAAAGATCTGATGTTATATGTAAGAGTCAGGAAATCCGGTCTTTGCATAAAGATAAAAACAATTACTTGGTGTTTTCTGTTGTTGTGCGCCTTTAAAAGCTTCCTGTTGATGTGAACCTATAAAAGGAGCTGTTTCTACGAAATAAATCAGACTTCTCTTTGTCTCCACTCAGGCTGGAGTGTTCTTTCTCAATTCTCACTCCCGACTCAGGCATGTTCGTGCTGTGACGGCTGGACCGCCACAGAAAAGTCAGACTTAGTATGTGCATTGCATGCATAAAAACACACCACCAATATGAGCAGGCATTATTAACCAGAATGGTGATGAGGAAAGGAGTAACAGAGTATTAAACATAGCACCCCCCAAAAAAAAAAGAAAGGAAAATATTCTATATGCCTGTGGATAAAACCAGATGAAGCCAGAAAAATGTTGTGATTAGCTCTACAGTAGATGCAAACACATGCATTATCAATAGAGATTAAATGCTCAACAGAAGCTACATTCCTATTTGAGTGATTCAGACTATTTTAGACTTTTTACTATCGTTCAATTAAAAAACTCTTCTTTTAAGGAACTCTAACAAATACTTGTTTAATTAAAAGACGTAAAAACCCTGTCAACTTCTTTTGGGGCAATTATGTTTGTTAAGTCATATTATCATTTACTCACACAAAGATCATTTTCATATTTTAAAAGGCAAAGCTTCTATTCTTCCTGGCTGAAGTTTAGGTAACCAGTACATTTTCCCCACAATTTCTTGTTTTGCTAGAATTAACAACTTCTTGTCCAAACACTACTATACCTGTGTGCTGGATGGCCTATGAAGAGCTTACGTAACTAGTCATGCTTGCCAGGTCTGGCAGCACGTGCCTGGAATCTTAGCACTTGGCTGAGGCAGGAGGATCAGGCCAGCCTGGGCAATACATAGTGAGTTCCAAGCCAGCCTACATGGCAAGATCTGTCTCAAAAAACCAAGAAAATTTTAAAAAATAACTAGTCATGTCTATACATAGGTACATTGTGTCATGGTGGTGATTTATTTCTCACACTCCTATTCTGAGTTCCTGAGATTACTTGTTGGCATTTAAAATATAAAAATACCTATTTGCTGGGCTGGAGATTTAGCTCAGTGGCACTGTGTCTGCCTCACAAGTGTGCAAGGTCCTGAGTTTGATCTCTGGTGCCAAAAGAACAAACAAATCAAAATAAAACAAAGCAAACCTAATTGCTTTTAAAAGCTGGTAATATTTTACCCTTTGATTTTTTTTTTTTTTGGTACTGGGGATTGAACTCGGGTCTTGCAAGGCAGGCCACTGAACCACTGAGCTAAATCCCCGGCCCTCCCCTTTGATTTTAAAAGCAAACATTTTAGAAATTTTTAAATCTTGAGTGGTGGGAGAAGAAATAAAAATTTTCAGAAACCGTAAAAAACTCTTCTCTGATGTATAAATATTGTCATACTGAGGAGGCTGAGAAGCCCCCTAAACTGGTTAAATCCAACAGCAATTATTTATTTATTTGTTGGTTTTTTGAGTCTCACTATGTAGTTCAGGCTGTCCTTTCTCTATGTAACCCAGGCTGGCCTTGAATTTGCAGCGATCTTCTGGCCTCAGCCTCACAAGTGCTAGGATTACAGGTGTGCAATACCATACCACACCTGTCCTGATATCCAACATTTAAAACGAAAATGCTTCCCAGCACTCAGGAGGCTGAGGCAGAAGGATTGCAGTGAGTTCGAGACCAGCCTGGGCTACATAGTGAGTTCCAGGTCAGTCTCAACTGAGTAGTGAGACCCTGTCTCAAAAAACCAAAAAACAAAACAAAATAAAACGAAAATGCTATGTATAATTATCTCATTTATTTCCTACTAAAATTGTACAAATTAGCTATAATCATTGGTTTTCAAATTTTATTTCTGAATTATCTGCCAAACAATAACATTTTCCTTCTTAAACATGGAACTTATATTTGGCCCAGAGCAAATGACTCACTTACGGCCACAACTCTAATTAAATGACTATTCTTTGGCCACTGTCCCACATACCACTGAAGTAGTTCCATCTCCAACTTCTTTGTCTTGAAGATCAGCCAGCTCACAAAGGACTTTAGCTGCAGGATGTTCTACTTCCAGTAACTTCAGGATGGTGGCACCATCATTACTAATGGTTACATCCTAGGAAATATGCAGGCAAATGTAGTAACATGAATCACCTATAGGAACAAGATGGCCCCTAAATTAATACAACCTCACTATGGTGCACATTCAACTTCAATAGACACCTTCCACCAGGACTCAGAAAAACAATGTACACAGGCAAAAAAAAAAAAGCTTTTTTTTTTCCTTCAGGGTAGTAAACAACTCCAATAGTTAAATGTACTTACACCAGTATCGTCCACCAACATTTTATCCAATCGAACTGGACCAAGAGAACTCTTTACTATATTTGCAATAGAAGCTGCAGCCATAACTGTAGATAATCAATGGGAAAATACCAAAGAAAGAAAATTAGAAAACTCCACTGCTCTAAAGAATATTTATTTCAGTCTACAGAACTAAAAAATATCCAACAGCCTCTAAATTTCCCAAATCTATACAAATACGTCCTTTTTACTTTAAAAATCATCTATTAGAAGTCTATCAAAGGAGGGTAGCAAATTTCATTCGGGGGCATATTTGATAAATAGATGAATTGTTTTAAAGAGTTCACTGCCTCTTGAAATACGAAAGTAATCAGGATAGAGGGTAGTATCAGCCTTTTCCTTCAGAACTTAGCAGAGTTTTTTGTTTTGCTTTGTTTTGGCAAAGGTATTGGGGATTGAACCGGGTTTTATGCTTAGGCAAGGTGTCATGGAACAAACTCAGCCCTTACTTTAATTTTGCCACAGGGTGTCTTTAAGTTGCTCATACTGGCCCTGAACTTTCCACCCTCCATTGGTAGGTTTAAAAAACTCAATACAATCTCTCTCTCTTTTCTTAAGGAAAAATCCAGAAACCCTCAAGTGAAGGCTAATGTTACTTCAAATTCGTTCAAGCGGGGGGGCGGGAGGTAACTACAACAGGTATCCATGACTGATTTGCTATTTATTAGTGTTCGCTAGAATGAACAGGTCTCGCCTACACTAGTATTCAATCCAGCATTTCTTTAACTTATTTCACTGTAAAAAGTTATCAACAGCAGGTTCCTCACAAAAACTGGATTTGAGCATCCGGGAACCCGACGTTTACACAACCGGAAGGGAGCAGCGCGAGTCGCCCAAGTTCTATAGGCATTTGCTCATGTGCTGATTGTGCAGGTAAGGTCAAAATTTTTCCCGGTGATGGTGCTAAAGGAAGCCGGAAGACCACACGGACGCCCAGCGGATAGGACTCTGCACAGCAAGGCTGCGGGGCGTGGCTGGCACGTGGCCGGCGGGGGCCCAGCTTTCTCGGCGAGAGGCAACCGCGCCCCTCCTGGGAGTCTCTGGACGCGCTGCGCCCCGGGCCGGTGGAACCGGCCTCGCCTGTCCTTACCGTTCTGGGAGCGGATAGCCTCCCCGGTGGTGCGGTCCCCGAACACCGACAAAGGGCCCTCCATCTTCACAGGAGGTTCCACACTGAGTTTTACTCAGACTCCTGATAACAAGTAGTAGTTTGGTCCCCAGGCGGGGTAGCGGCCATGAGAGCCGGGCAGGGATGGTGAGGCAGAGCAGAGCCCAAGGGGCTGCTGGGTAACACAGCGTGTCCGTCATCCCCCGCCCCCCGCCGCAAGGCGCAGCGGGAAGGAGGGAATTGGCTGGGGTGGGGTGGGGAGAAAAGCCTGAATTTGCCGGAAATGAGGAACCGGAAAGAGACCGGCTTAGTATTTGCGTAGGATTGGAGACTGGAATTGAAGAGCGGGGAAAACCGAGACGGAGTATCAGGAGGTTAGCCCGGTAGAATTCTTGTAGATGTAGGAGATAGAGAGCAAGGACAAGTAAATATTAGAAAGCCCAGCAACAAGAATCGAGAAACCTGACAGAACTAGGACAAGTGTGTCAGAATGTCAGAAAACTAATAAAATTCACTCTTCCCTCAGGACCCTTAGGCATGCGCGCGCCTGAAAGTACTTGACCCCCTAGTCTGCATCCAGTTTCATTCACATGGTGTGTTTTTGTTGTTTGTTTTTTGAGACTGGGTCTCCTGTGTAGTTCAGGCTGGCCTTGAACTGGCCATCCTCCTACCTCACCTCTGGACTGCTGGGATTACAGGCATGTGCCACCACACCAGGCTTACATTGAGTTTTTACCCCCTTGGTGGGCTCTACGCGCCAGGACACTTATTGTAAAAACCTTGTGTGGTCAAATACTACCCATCTTGTCTACTCCTATCAATCCTCAGCTATGGATTTTTGCAGGGGTTTTAAGAGACCTAGTACCTGCCGCTGTTGGGGTTGGAAGCGCTTCTCATTCTTTCTCTCAACCTGAGTAGTACACCTTCACTTCTTTTGCTGTTACGCCTTTTTAAATCTTATTCTTCCTACTCTTTCTGGTGTCCTGCTTAGTTGTGGGGGGGTGTACCAAAAACCTGGAAATCACTCCTCGGAGACCCCAGTCCCATAACATTGACATAGGCAAGGCTATGTGTGTGCTTTTGGACAGAGTAGTATCACTGGGCTGGACCTGAGGGTCCCCGAGGCTGAAGATAAGGAACTTTCCTCACCCCTCAAGAATAAGTGCAGATTTGCTGACTCCTATCTCAGAAAAAGAATTTTTAGGATGTGTATGTAAGAGACATGAGAAGCATTTATTATAGACTTTAGGATGCACTAGAGAGTGGAGTGTGAGAGCTCAGAGAGAACTGATACCCATTATTAGGTGGAATTGAATATATTTAATGGAGTGTCTTTAAGAGAGGTCATCTAGGGCTGGGGATTTAGTTTACTGGTTCCAGCACCTGACTCACGAGTGCAAGGACCCAAGTTCAATCCCCAGTACCAAAAAAAAAAAAAAAAAAAAAAAAAAAAAAAAAAAGAGAGAGAGAGAGGTCATCTACAATGTGTACTCTTACTTTCTTTTCTCGTTGCTGAGTCAAAATATCCAACACCTAAAGTTAAAAGAGAAAGGTTTATTTAGCTCACAGTTTGTACAGGTTTCAGTCCATAGTCAGTTGGCTCCAAGGCAGGGTGGTATGGCAGAGGGGCATGGCAGTGAGGAAACAGTTCATGGCAAAGCAGGGCAGGCAGAAGGCAGCAAGCAAGCCACAATACTGTCAAGTTACAATTCAAGCTATCTACATGTGTTTGAAGTTGAGATAAGCAACCCACCAAAATTGCTGTTTCTTTTGGGGTGGAGGGAGCACAAGTTACAGGCAAAAAGGACAGGTCCAGACCCTGGATTTAGAGGTGTATGTCTTTTTTTTCCCCCATTAAGTTTATTGGTACATTTAAAGCAAACAATACAGTTACATTTATCCTTGGGATCTTTACATGATATATCTTGGTTCTTGTTTTTTACCCATACTCCTGCCCTCCCTCATCCCCTTTTCCTTTCCCTATAGAGGCATATGTCTTCAAGACCTTTGAGATTCTTTTCCCTTCTCTTTTCTTTTCAAGTGAGTTGCCTGGAAGAGAAAAAGGCTTGAGTAATTTGTGTCTGTAATTTTAAAATCTCAATTTCCTTGTCTACCTTTTATCTAGTTTTTTTTTTAATAATCCTACCTCAGTAGTACCTTGTAAGAAAAGGTGGTTGGTTGGTTGAAGTTGGAGTCTGAGAGTACTGAGTATGGGCAGTCATTTCCCCAAGGTAGAACTGGGGTTCTGGGCCCATGCAGGGGTAAGGCGGTAGGGAAGGGTGCAGTCAATCAGAGATGTGCAGGTATTGAGGGACCTGGCAGAACACACCAGTGTGTGTGGGGGTATTAGAGGCACAGGGTTTAGGGGCCTGTTGGGACTCGCAGGCTTTCTGGCAGTACTGGGGGCCAATGCAAGAAATGGTGGCCTGTGAAGCCCAGACTTTTCCTCCCAAAATTGAAGACCCTAAGAGCAGGACTTCTATATCTCCTATTAAGTCAAAAAGTTTGGGGGGATAGTCTCTCTTCCCCCATTAGACTGGAAGCCCTTGAGGGTAGTCTGATTCTTTTATCAGATAAACAGGATACTTTATCTTCCCCATCAGACTGTCCCAAAGAGTCCCAAAGTGTGGGGAATCTATCAGTCAGACACACTGATTCCAACACAAAATTTTATTTCCAGTACAGATGCCTGGTCTTGCCAACCCATGCTCAGGATGCAGGAAGTCACAGCAGCTGGCTGTGTGTGTGCAGGGTCCTTGGCTCCCATCCTGCCTTCTCAGATGCTGAACTTGTGTTTGCTCAGCGTCATGTTTGTTGCAGACTCATAAACCTAAAAACCAAGAGATCTTGTTATTCCCCCTACCCTGACATGACAGATTCTCCCCTGCTCCCCTCCAGCTTCAACATTAACCTAAGGTACAGCTGGTGCAAGGTATACTTGTGCCATCCAGGCCTTCCAGAAGTCTAGCCTGCTGGAGAGCAGGGAGCCCAGGCATTCCCAAAGTTTCAGGTCATTCTATCCTGGCAGGAGCGGGGACTAAATAAGACAGGTGTGTGCCTTTTTCCATCCAGAAGCTTCTTCTCAGCGGGGGGCTACTCTTATGCACCCTAAATGAGATCCAGGAGTTCTTTGCATATAATGGAGCTAAGCATCTGCCTCCTGGGAGGAGCTGAGTTGGCTCAAGCCATACTAAGAAGTAGGTTTGTGAGAGAAGAAACTAACTCAGACTTCTCTGAGAAGGGAAGGATGGGACCTAACTCCAGCAGGTAGGAGTTGAGGGGCTAGACAGATCTTGGAACAGACAGTAACCTTGACTGGTGGACCAGGGGCTAGGTTGGACACTGGGGCGAGTGTTAATTGAGTAGGAGAAGGAAGGTGCACCTTTGCTCTGCTAACCAGCGCACTGAACAAATCTTGCTGTTTAGCGATATTCTGGAGGTCCATGGAAGACCCGCTTTCCATCAGGCTCATTGAGAAGGGCCTACGCATTAGCTCTTCTATCTGCTCCTGGTTGAAGGGGATGGAACGCACTTCCTGCACAATGCTGGAGCAGAGAGAAGTGTGTTGGGGGATGGGCAGCCCTTCCACCTCTTCTCTGGTATGAACTCCTTCTTACCCTCCCCAACCCTGGTAAACACCCAGGCTGAACTGTGCTCTCCTATAAGATGAAAGGAACCCAGAGGTCAAGATTCTAGCTCCTCCTCCAACGGGTCACCGAGGGACTCTGGGCAAGCTACTTAACCTCTGTGGGCCCCAGGGATTGCATAAGAAAATAGTGAAGGTCAGAGGAACCTGAGACTCCACTATGCCCTGACTCACAGGACTCAGAGTACCCCCAGTACTCCCCCTACTTGTCAAGCTCCTCTCTGATCTTCTTGTACTGCGTTAAGTTCTCCTCTATTTCTTCAAGCACCAAGCAGAAATTGTGAAGCATGTTTTCTGAGAGGTTTGACATGGGGCTCCCTACAAGAGTTTCCTGGTGGAGATCAGGTTTCTCCATGCAGGCAAGTGTACAATGCGGGAGTGGCAGCTCATGGCTCCAGTCTTCCTTCTCTGCACCTGTCTACAGGGGAAGATGGGAGAGGGATTAAGACTCAGCCTGGGGAAGGATGAGTCCGTTAGGATTGGACAGCAGGATTCTAATGACCCAATATGTATCTTATGCATCTCTCTTTCCCTCTCCCTCTCCTTCCTCCTCCCTCTCCCCTCTCCTCTGCCTCCCCCTCCTTCTTCCTCTTCCTCCTTCCCTCTCCCTCAGTGGAATGCAAGGCCTCCAGCATGCTAGGCTGCTACCACTGGGCTACACCTGCAGCCCTCAGCTCCAATCAGTCTAAGCCATCCTACCTTGCTATAAGAGCTCACCTTCAAATACACATGCCCATTCCCCTGTGTCTTTGGAAATTCTATAGTCCCATTTCATGCCAGACAAATCCTACCGAGCAAATTTGTGAAGCTCTACCTACTCTCTGTCATGGCCCCCGACCCTACTATTTTTCTTTTTTGTTTGTTTGGGTTTTTTTTTTTTTGAGACAGGGTTTTGCTATTAGCTTAGGTTAGGCTTGAACTCACTATATAGTTCAGATCTGTCTTGAACTCACGGCAATACTTCTGCCTCAGCCTCCTGAATGCTGGGGTTACAGGCATCTGCCACCATGCCCAGCACTCCAACCCATCTTTAAATTTTGTGACAGGTCACCCTAAGTCCCCAAAGTTGCCCAGGCAGGGCTCAAATTTGCTATCTTCCTGACTCAGATTCCCAGAGTGCTGCCACTGACCTTCTGGAAATACAGTGCTCTACTTCCCTTATGGAATTTATATTCCTGATTGAATATGCTGTAGCTGACATTTATTGAGTGCTTACTATGTCCCAAGCACTATTCATTTACCCATATAATCCTCATTACAGCCATGTGAGGTCAGTAGTAATATTAGTCCCATATTACAGAAGAAGAAATTGAAGATTAAATTGGTTAAATGCCTCAGATCACCCAACCACTCAGTTTTGAATTACTGTAGAAACATAACATCTAGGAAATCCATACTCCTCAAAAGCCCCAGATGGTGAGTGGCACATCAGATGGGGGTTGCTCCCTCCAGGTCTTGGGCCTCACTTTTTCCAGGCCCTAGACTGTGCAAGCACACACATGCACAGACACATATACTCAAGTCAGCACTCACACACACATTCCCCCTCTCTTTCGTCCTGCCCTCCCTGTCCCACAAACCTCACTGAAGTTTTTTTGATGCTGTTGCTCCAGCTCTTCTGTCTTCGTTATTTGTTCCAGATTCCTGGTCACTACAGTAACAAGCAGGTTCATGCCAATGATGCCACCAATGATGATGAAGATGGCAAAGTAGATGGCTCCCCCAATCTCCAGTGCATAGTCTCTCTCTTTCATCCTGGAGATAGCAGACAGGTGCCTCATCACCCCCGTGGCCCTTTGAGCCTTAGTTTCCTCTTCTATGAAATGGGGAAATTACTGTTGGCTGCTTCTCACCTATTATGTAGATCTAATTCCTATACCTGGTTGTCACAGGAGTGGCTCTTTATCGTGCACCTGCTGTGCTGCCACACAGTGGTCCAGTGCTCAAGGCAGCCCCGCAAGGTGACTGTTAGATCACCACTACCGACTTCCAGCTGTTTGCCATAATTTTGTTTTGTTTTGTTTGTTTGTTTTTGTGGTAACTGGGGGTTGAAGCCAGGGCCTTGCTCATGCTAAGCCTGGGCTGTAGTACACCTCCAGATCCATTTGTTATACTAGTCTCTCCCCACCCCTACAGACAGGGACTCAGTATGTAGTTCCAACTGGCCTTGAACTCATAATCCTTCCTCAGCCTCCCACATGCTAAGATTACACTCCACCTGGATCCCATTAACTATTCTTATTCATGTTTTTTGTTGTTGTTGTTTATTTGTTTTCTCATTATGTATTTCAGGCTGGCCTTGAACTCCCTATTGTAGCCCAGGCTGGCCTCAAACTCACTGTTATCCTCCTGATTGTAGGTGTGTGCCATGCCTGGCTTATTATTATTATTATTATTATTATTATTATTATTATTACAAAAAAACAATTCAAACTTGTGATAGAAATACTGGAAGAAAAAAACATGAGATGCGATAACAAATATGTCAAATGTTTAAAAATTACCTAACATACATTGGAATTAATCTCCTTCAAAATACAGGTGCTACCCCTCATTTGGAACACACTTATCCTATCATTCTTGCCACTTTCTGAAGCAGTTCTGGAAGTCTTCTTTTGTGTCTTTACAAGATGTGATAAAATATACAGTGAATGCTGGTGCTGAATGGCATCCAACAGAGAGGCAGGATGGTGTGTCCCCTTCACCTTACTCACCAGATCTGGCATCATGTAACTTCTGGCTCTCCACCAAAGTCAAAAATGACCTTGAAAGGGGTAAGCATTTTACATAGATTCAGGACACTGAGGTAGCCATGACAGCACAACTAAAGACCCTCCCGAAAAAGGACTTTGAAAATTGCTTTAGAAAGTGGTAAGAAGACAGGTATGGTGGCACACACCTGTAACTCCACCACTCAGGAGGCTGATGCACAAAGATCACCACAAGTTCAAGGCCAGCCTGAACTACATAGTGAGACCATCTCAAAAAAAACAAACAAACAGGGCTGGGTATTTAGCTTAGTGGTACCATGCCTGCCTTGAAAGCACAAGGTCCTGAGTTCAATCCTTGGTACAGAAAAAAAATGTGGTAAGAAGGATGGTATAAACTGGGCATGGTGGCGCATGCTTGTGAACCCAGCGCTCAGGAGGCTGAGGCAGGAGGATTGCTGTGAGTTCGAGACCAGCCTGGGTTGCATAGTGAGTTCCAGGTCAGTCCCAACTACATAGTGAGACCCTGTTTAAAAAAAACAAACAAACAAACAACAAAAAACAAAAAGAAGGATGGTATAAATGTGTTCAAAGATAGGGGAAATATCTTGATGGGGATTAATTACAATGTGTCTTTTACTATAATGGTTTCTAAAATTTTTATTAGTTATAGCAATAATTTTTTGAAAATTTAAACATTGATCGATTGCTTTTTGTCATACCTTATATACAGACTTAAATCCTCATCTGGTGAGTTACCTGCTGCTGATACTTTACTGTAATTTTCCCATAAATTTTGTTCTATTTTCTCTTTCAAATAAATCATTGATCCTGCTCCTACTCTTGGGTGTCCTGCTCAATTCTTTGTTTAGGACAGTAAGAATCTGGATAAGACCCCAACCTGGTAACACACCCAGTACAATCTTAGAAACACTTGTTGATTCTTTTCCATGACCTACATCCTCATAGATCCTGATTGCAGAAACCTTTACCTATGGGCTTCTAGCCCCATGAAGGGGGAAAAAAAATCTATCAGGGCCCCACTGCTTGGAGAGGACTAAAAAGAAATCTGGCTTGGATGGGCCAGTGAACAGACAAAGAACAGAACTGTGACCTTGCACAGTCAGTGTGAGCGTGCGTGAAATGAGCCTGAAGCTCTCGAGGGTTCAGGCAGCAGCTGGGCCCATGGAGACTGGAGACTGCAGGTTACCCCTGACCCTGGGTACCTCCACAGACCTGTTCTATAGCCAACATCTAGCTGCCTAGCTGTTTAATATGATAGGACAAGTCCCCATGAGCAGAGTCAAGTGGCACTTTGAATGCATCAAGTGTCTAGGGGGACAAGGATTTCAGTACCACAGGCATAGAGCCCCACTTCAGAGATCTATCTTCCTCAGTTTAAAGTTAGGACATCACCTTCTTGCTAGACTCACTTCCTCCCCACCAGAGCCCACATGCACCTTTGACTGCACCCCCATCCTCAGCCTCCCCACTGTCAAAAGAGCTTCTCCGCCTGCCTTTTTGGTAGAAGAAGGTCTGCAGCCTAGGTCACTCACCGGAAGTCACCGTAGATGTCCACCCATCCATCCTGTGTGAGGCAGACGAAGAGAGTATACAAGGCCACTCCCAGATTCCCGAAATGGATAGGCACGGACTCACCAAAGAGTGTGACCCCAAGCAGTGCAAAAACCTGCCAGAGACCAAAGCCCCACCCTAGCTTCAGTCAGGGCACTTGGAAACAGAAGATGTATTCATATATACATATATACATATGTATATAATGCAAATAAATAGATTGCCAAGGGAAATAAGTATAGAGTTTCAGACCTGTAAGCCTTTTTTTTCCAGGTACCCCTCTCCCCACAAAACCCCAGGACTTCTAATAAGGGAAGGGGAGTGGCACTGACCAGCATGACAAAGAGGATGAGGACCCCAATCTGGGCCATGCCAGGCCCCGCCTGCAGGATGACACGGATGATCCGGGCCAGAGGCTCCACCGCCATGCACACATGCACCAACCGGAGCACCCTGTAGCAAACTCTGTCAGGGTTGCCTCTTGGCCCTACCAGAGCCCCCTCCAATTTCCCAGGGAGGCAGAGCTGAGCCCCAGCTGGGAACAGCCCTCCCTTCCAGGTCTTGAGGTCCAGACAGGTCTCCCTCTTTTCCAGAGCTTCCTGCTTACCTGAGACAGTACGTGATTGAGACATTGACCACGTCCAGGACCCCCAAGACCAACATGCAGACAATGAAGAAGTTGAGGACGTTCCATCCATCCTGGTGGTGGGCCAGCCCCAGTGGGGTTCATCAGGCCTAGCCACAGGGCGTCTTGAGTTCACCCTCCCAAACCCCCAGGACAAGGGCTCAGTATTCTCAGAGCAGGGCTCACACTGCCATCCCAGGAAGGTCTCAAAACACATGCATACTCCCTGCCCCACACATGCATTGACAACAAGCACAACCCTAGAGACATCAGTGAAGACCTTCCCTTCACACCTACACAGACACCCTTAATCTGAGGTTTCCTGGGCTAGTCACCTGCAGAAAGTGTCCTTGCCTGATAGTGAGATGACCTGAGGACATGTGTGTTCTGCCTTCGTGGGACACACACTACACTGAGTAAAACAAAAGTAAATACTAATAAAGACACCAAGGGGCACTGCTTCAGCAGCAAAGCCAAAGTAAAATCGCATTCACAGCACTAGGGAGGGAGAGAGGCCAATTTTGCATACCCTTAGTTTGTTTAGTGAGGCATGTCCTTATCCAGGACAGGGTGCAGGGAAGAAGCTTATCTGCATGTACAATTTGATCAATGATCTGACCCAGTGGTGCTCTGGTATAGGTACAAAATGGCATTTGTATAAAGTTGAAAACAACCAGAGCACCCAGTGATCAGAGTCTGGTTGAATAAATCAGTACCTTCATTTTGTGGAATACTATGTAGCTGTAAAAAAGACCAGTGAGGAAAATTTCCAGGCACTAACACAGAAAGATTGTCAGGATCCAGTCATCAATGATGGCAGAGGATACTACTGTCAATAATGGGAGGACAAAGCATATGTATGTATTTGTTTATAATTGTCAAAATAACTACTGGGGTGGGGAGGTCAAGTATAAGATCATCCAGAGAGGGGGGTGAGGGGGAAAGGGAGGAGGGGACTGGAATGGAGCAAGAATTCTGTGTACATTTTATAACATAGTTTTGACCAATATGTATCTGCATTAAATATTCCAAAAATATATTTTAATGGGAAAAATGTTTGGGAGCAGCTCGATAAATCCAAGTCATCCTAGACTCTTATACTGCATCTGTGCCTGCACAGACACAATGTCTGCCTGTTTACAGCTCCGTCCCTGTTATCCATTCAGTGTGAGCTGCACCCTGAAGCATTTCCCAAGAACATGAGGCTTCCTGGGCCATTTTCCTGAGGTGGCGAGACCCTGCGTTTTCTCTCTGTGTGTGAAAGCGAGGTACACACTGTCTCAGAGACGGAACAGCACCTACCTGGCCTGGGAGAAATGGGAAGAGAAGCCAGAAAGAAGACAGCCAACAAGTCAGGAATTTGGAGTAAAGCAAGTGACCAGAGAAAATCAGAAGAGCACTTGTGAAATGTGAAAATTACAGGGAATTCAAAGTTCAGTGCCTACAAATAAAGTTCTATTGGAATAGAGCTGGACATGGTGGCACACACCTGATGTTCGAGCTACTTTAGAGGTTGAGGCAGGAGGATCACTGGAACCAAGGAGCTTGGGGCCAACTGGGTAACACAGTGAGACCCCATCTAAAAAAACCCATCTCCCTGCCAAAAGTTGTGTTGGAGGGCAGCAACGTTCCAGTGTGTGTGTTGTGTGGCAGCTTTTGTGCCCCCTGCAGAGGTGAGTTGTTGCAACAGAGAGTGTAGAGCCTGCAACACATCATGTTTATTCTCTGGTGGGTTGCAGAAGTTTGCGGACTGCTGCTCCAGAACCCTATGGGCCCTATTTCTCAGATACAGAAATCAAGGTTCAGCTGGCCTCAGAGGTGGGGGATGAAGCAGGGATTTGGAATTAGAACCTTTGTTGTGCTGCATCGCAGACATGTCGGAAACTCTCTCATCTCTCTTTCTCCTCTCTCTTCCCTTTCTTTCCACTCTCTCTCCATATACAGACACTGCTCTGGGTTACCCCTCAGGGAGAGTATAGGGAATGGCAGAGAAGTCTCAGGATCTCACCTTCCAGAAAATCCAGAAGCCACTGAGCCAGCGGAGAAGAACCTCACAGATGAGGGTGGTCAGCACAATGTCATCTATGACTGAGAAGAACTCATAGTGTTTCTGAGTGGGAGCCAGATGGAAAGAGTGAGGGGTATCAGTGAGCAGGACCTGGGCCAGGAAGGGCCAGGCTTGTCTGCAGGGAGGGGAGGCCTGTGTCCCTGCTGCTGCTCCTCCCAGCACTTCTACTGCTTCTTTTGGTGCACATGTGCCCTGCACACCCAAGGCCCTGTGCTGAGACCATCCATGCGCTGCCTCATGTGACTGTCAGTACTGTCATGCAGAGTAGGATCCTGACCAGTTGTGGTCACACATGCCTATAATCTTAGCACTCAGGAGGCTAGGCAGGAGGATTGCTGTGAGTTCAAGGCCAACCTGATCTCCGCAGCAAGACCCTGTCTCAAAAAAAAAAAAAAAAAAAAAAAA